TCAAATACTTAGTAACCACCGTTACAGTTATGTCGGTTCTATGAATCATTGTGTCGGTTAATTATGTCGTTTAGATTTGTATATATATGTATGTTCATACTACTGGACATGTGCTGTGATTTTAATAAGAAAAAGTTGGTGTTTCTTTGTATATTGCATCTTACTTAATCCTTCCAACACAAACAAGTGATGATAACGAAAGGACGGACCAAAAAACTCTTGTAAGTTGGGTTAGAGAGAAGGTCCACGAGGCAACTAGAAGTTTGACAGAAACCCAAATCGTTGAGATATTGGATCCTGTTATGAGAGATGAATATGACCAAGGCCAGATACAAATTCTTCTGAATGTGGCTCTCAAATGTGTTGAGGAAGATAAAGATGCCAGACCAACCATGAGCGAGGTCGTGAAGATGCTTCTCCACCCTGAGATGAATATATGACTAATTAATGCATGTCGACTAGCATTTGGCCCAATAAAGAAATTCATTCATACCATATTGTATTGTGTGATGTTCTTGGTTATGAGGGAGGGTAGGGGCATGGGAACCGGTCTGCCCCCTATTCCTTCTCATATGTAATAGTAATACCCTTACTTGATCGATCATATGGTGTTTGATCAAGTGTTATCGTCCTTATGGTCACTATAACTTGGTGAATTTTTTTATTGATCAATATTACTGTGACAAGTATTAATATTTTTATCCTTATCGAAAATTTAGGATGTTTTTGTTATAGAGAAATTTGAAAGATAAGAACTTAATGCATATGTGGTTTGTCTGAAGACCATCAAGAAACCCTTTCTACCCTATATATCCAGACAAGAATGGTAGGTATTTAAATATTTGGTATAGTTTTATACTACATAGACAAAGGATCATGTGATAAAAGGAGTAAATTTGAAAAACGCAAGAAAAGATCTGAATATTTGATCACTTTTAATCTCATGCCTACCCATGAATTGCGCTTTAGAAGAGAATTGATATCGTGCATCTCAGTACACCTCATTTGTGTTCACATTTAGTTAAGATTGATCCAAGAATAATGATTTTTTTTTACGTTTCCCACAATAACTTCCTTTTTGATCATATCGGAATATATCCAACGTATAACATATAATAGTTGAAACAATAAGTTAGAACTTTATATACTTGTTCTTTCAAAACCAAAAATCAATCTTTGGCTTGGTAATAACTTGTTAAAAATATTTGACTATCCACTAATTTACCTACTAAAATATCACCTATTTCTACCCAAGATCTCTGCATTACAATTCCATTAATTTTTGTCTAAATTTCGGAGTAAATGGGCTTTTAAATACGGTATTTTATTAGTGACCCTTTCGGGGAAATAAATGTGTTCCACAATAAAGAAAGAAGAAGAAGAATGTGAATCAATACCATACAATAATTAATAGGGACAAGCATAATTTTAGTTACCTACATAATTTGTAGAGCATTCTTTAAAGATTGGGGAGTAATTTACACCTTAATTATAACAAAAATTTAACTTTGTGATCAAACTTAGTGGTATCACCGTTATTCAACTTCTAGATTTCTCTTCTTTGCTAGCTAATGGCATTTCACAAGTTCAAACTTTGAGATGTTTAATGGACACTATAACAAAATTAGGTTTATATGATATCAATAATTTTTAAGTATATTAATAGACGACCGTTTTATAAGACTTAATCTATATGAACAAAATATAAAACGTCATAACTAAAGATATTGTAATAAATTGATAGAATGTTTTTGGACATCTTAACAAGTACTTTGAGACATTTTCAGTGCAAAACGTCACATTAGCAATTTTATATGACACTTTTGAGAAAGTGTCATGTAAACTCATATTTTTATAGGACGCTTTTTCAAATAGTGTCCTATAAAATTGCTAATGAAATGCTTTATACTAAAATTGTCCTAAATAACTTGTTATGATGCCCCAAAGTGCCCTATAAACTTATTACAATGCTTTTAGATATATAACGATTTATTTTTTGGTCCTAGAAATTATGTCATATAAAGTGGTCTATTAGTACGCTTACATTTTTTTAGCGTCCTATAAACCCAATTTCACTACTAAAAAATCTGGTTTTCCCGACGGCAAAATCCGTCGGAAATCCGTCGGAAAAACAACTTTCCAGCAGATTTCCGACGGATTTTGACGTTGGAAAAACCCCCGCCACTAATGCATTTTCCGACGGAATTTCCGACGGATTTGTATTTTCCGACGAAAAAATCCGCCGGAAATCCGTCGTACAATTTTATAATATGTTATCCATTATCCGGGTTAATTAGAAGTAATATAAAATGAGATTAGATTTACCGACGGAAATTCCGTCGGAAATCCGTCGGTAAACTTTTTCCATTTTTTTCCAAAATAATAACTGGTTTTTATTTCAAAAATAAAAATAACATTTTTCCGATGGATTTTGCCGTCGGAAAACTTTTTCTACTTTAAAATATGAAAATATTTTTTTTATTTGTAATAGACGGAAAATATTTACCGACGGATTTTCCGTCGGAAATCTGTCGGAAAATCCGCCAAATTTTTTTTAAATAAAACTTATATCTAATTATTTACCGACGAATTTTTCCACCAGAAATCCGTCGGAAATTTAACTGGTACAGGAAAAAAAAAACCAAAAACATCAAAAAATCAAAATATAAAGATCCTATCATTAAATACAAATTATACAATACACAAATATGTCATAAATACCTCATATGATTATCCGGACGAAATAATATACATATATAAATTCGATTGATGACGTTAGTTTATAAATACACTATATCAAATCTATTGCGGCAGGGTCGGCGGAAACTGTTGAGATTGTGTAAACCTCTTCATCATATCCATCATGTTTGCATGCTCTTTCTTCCGGATCTCATCTTCCTTGTTTCGGATCTCTTCTCGGCGAAGAAGTTCCTCAACCTCCTTCTGTCGGATTTCATCTCGAGTGCGCATTTCTTGAATTTGGGACTGTAAGTTGTTAATGAACTACAAATAAAATAAAACGTTAAACTTTCTAATAAGAAGTATAAATGAAATAAATAAACATCAAAGGTTTAAGATGTACACACCTCACTATCTACATTAGGTGATCCACTCGAGTTTGCTTGTGAGGATGTCCCGGTCAAGACCAAATTGGGATCTTCATTGTACCCGAACCCAAATAGACGGCCTTTCCTGGATCCCCCAACCGCCTCATTCCACAAGTAAGTATCAACTAGGGGATGGGTCGAGGGATCCTCACCGTACTTTTCGGTGAGATTGTTTGAATAGGTACCCTGTGATTTAAAAAAATACTACTAGTCAATTTCAACAGCATAACGACTGTAAATGAAACGTTTCCAACTAAAACAATCCTAACATTTGTCCAACAAATGGCAACCCAAACTCTCTCTCTCTCTATGTATATATATATATATATATATATTAACATTCTAACTTAAACAATCCTAATGTTTGCCCAATAAATGGCAACCCAAACTAGATAGAAATATATATCTCACACACATACACTAACATTTTAACTTAAATAATCCTAACGTTTCTCCAACATACGACAACCCA